CTTGACCTTGATGTTTGACTTACTTTTGAAAAACTTTAATCTTTTCCATATCTATTCAATGGTTGCTTCTAGGGCTTTCATATTTCACAGGTATATTTCTCGAGATGAGACCTTACTTTGGGTAGCAACATATTTGATTTGCATTTGAGAAAGTTTAACCTTTGCTATAAGTTGCCATACGGGGGCATCAGTGTTTCACAAAACACATCTTGTTTTTTTCTGAAACTCCCTCTTTAAAATCAAAATCTATCACAATCTTTAAGCCGAGACCGGTAATGAATTTATTTGAAATGCAAACATAGAAACCCATGGTCATATGCTCACCTGTGCCTTTTATGCTCAATTTAAAACATTGTTTACATATTTTACAAATTATAGAAAGCACTAGAAAGCCAACAACACTGTATATCCTATGTGTCGGATCTATTAAATAGATACAAGGTCAAGCACTAAAACTGATTAACGACACGAACAATTAAAATTGTCAATTTTTAATTGTTCGTGTCGTTGATAATTTTTAGTGCTTTATATATTTTATAAATTATATTTCATAAATGAAAGAATACATTTTGTAGCTTTTTCGCTACCCTGTGAGTACATGGGAGCTAGCATGCATTTAGAGGCAAACGCTTACGTGCGGGTAGTACTATCCTATGACATCTAGTTACCAGTTATTTTTCTTTTATGAATTTAATAGCACATTATATTTATAATGTATATTTCATTCCAGCATTCGACCGGTCACCTTAGCCTAGTGGTAGGGCGCTCGCTTCGTGATAGGGAGGCCCGAATTCGATTCTCGTTCGCTGCGCCGCGTTAAACCTAAGACGTATACATAGCTATCGACTGTTCCTTCGCCAAGCGCCCAGCATTAGAAGTGAAAGTCGCGGGTCTTTCGGATGAGACCTTTAAAACCGAAGTCCCGTGGCACGGTACTGAGGCGTTGGCACGATAAAGAAGCCACACTGTTCAATGGCCCTGAGTGCCGATTATGGGTCTAAATTTGAAGCCCTTCACCGACTCTATATGAGTGAAAAATTCTCGAATGAGACGTTAAACAACATATAATCAATCCATCAATCATTCCAGCATTCGGCAATATTTGATTTCTTTCTTGCTCATAATATGAATGAATGAAAGCACTTGATTTGATATTATGCTCTATTTATGAATTCTGTAAAGTATATGCCTGATCTTATATATTGTCATCGAAATAACATGCCCAAATGATATTCTGTGGATCTTTATTTATAACTATTTCGTTTGGATCATCATGCTTTACCTTTGAAGAACTCAGCCTTATCAAAACAAATATACATTTCATGTTTTCCTTTTCTTGCTTTAGTGAAAGATATTCCATTTTAATACTTTTCCTTGGAAGGTTATTTTGAAATAATACTGTATGACTCGAATCAGATACATTCCGAGGTATCTAAAACATTGAAATTAATAGGACCTACAACCTTGTTCTGTGGAATTCTACCCTTAGCATTTTGACAAAAAGGTTATTCAAAATCTAGTTACCATTAAAGCAATTAAAAGAAAAATTCTCGTTTTGATAGTTTATTTTGTCGAAATTTGACATGTCCTTAAGAACCCTCTCTACACTATACACTAAAGAGTTCTGATTCTGTGGTATTTTTCTGCAGTTAGAGTGATTTCAGATAAATAGAAATCTACTGTGTATTTCTCAATTTATAATCAATTAAAGCATTCTTAACATTTTGAAAGGCAAAGATAAAGTATCTGAACACTTTAGTTACATGCATTTTATCCACTGAAGTAAACAATTGTGATTTCTGTTCATTAATACTTTGTGGTCTTTGAACATTTTTCCTGGGGGTAAATGCCACGTACCATATATTGAAATTATATAGATAAGCCTAAAATTTACACCTTAATACAACATAATTTTCTCAATGTTTAACATTTTGCACTGGTGTATAGAGGGTCCTTAAGTGCAGTCATTCTTTAAAAGTTGTGTTTTATTCAGACAGAAGGACAATTTTATGTTTCTTATTTTCGACGGAATGAAAACTACCATTTTATGGCAAAGAAAGAATTTCCGTGCTAAAAATTACCTTTTAAAGAGATATTCATCTTTGCAATGAAAGAGAATCAGCTGAACTGCCTCCATAAGCCTTTGGAATCTTATCAGTCAATCAGTGAGCGGAGAAAATACATGTAATATATTCCTGAATTTAAATTCTACAATTCATAGACAGAAATAAGAACAATTGAGATCAAGTATACTGCTTCCCATGTGTCTCAAGCAACACAGAATTAAGAGTACGACACACAGCGATGGCTTGTCCTGTTTTATTTCTGCAGGATTCTAAAATGTTGCCATGCTGTTGACATTTGTCAGAAGAACTGACAAGAGACTGTCTGATAAATAAACGACTGTCGCAAAAAAATTAAATCTATTGAAATAGTGAGAAGGATTTAGGAAGTATTTAAATACTTGTAATAGCTATGATATTTCATCATAGTGCAACATGTACTGGTCCCTGCTGACAAAGCAGGTACAGCATTGTCTTTGTAAGGGTCATTATTTAAATTGTATTTTAGGGAACTGGGATTTAATTCAACAAGTGGTAATCCAACTTATACCCATAGCTCCCTTTCTAAGGAGGAAATTCTTCAAAATCATACGTCAGTTTTGAATATTTTTCAACAACCAACTTGAATTTGAATTACCATATCTATATTGGATTCCGAAACTTCATTAAAATCCTTACAAACAAAGATACATAGCGGATTCCAGTTAATGTTATACCAAGCCTCTTTCTTTACTGCTCACTAGAATATTAACAGCAGTGAAGGAGAAGCTTCAGGAGTACTACTATAACTATATATAAGTGGTGTAAATCAGATGTGGATACTTAAAAAATCCAAGGAACTTTTGGAAAATTTGAAATTACAAAACTTTACCAAAATCAACAACATAAAAATTACGACTTCCATCTTAATATACAACCATTCCCCACGATAATTAAAGTCCAGGCTTGTTTATATCATTGACAGCTGCTTTTTCAATAATAATGGAACTCGTAAATTTACTTAACCTTGTCATTGGTCATTTGCAAAATTATTTTGTTAAAAAGCATTCTGATTGCACACACAAGTACTCTGAAGTTGATATTAAAAAGATGCTTGAGTTTCTGATTGACAATATCTATGTGGTTTTCGGAGACCAGGTCTTCCAACAATCTATTGGAATTCCCATGGGTATCAATTGCACCCCGATATTAGCAGACCTATTTTTGTATTCATATGAAGCAGAATTTGTTCAAAACCTTATACGTGAAAAGAAAACACATCTATGAACTTCAACTCGACATTTAGACATATCGACGACGTATTGTCAATTAACAATGGTTATTTCCATTCTTATGTCGATACGATATATCCCAGTAAGCTTGAAATTATAAAAGATACCACAGAGTCTGACACATCTGTTTCATACTTGGATATTTTACTAGAAAAAGACGTTAATGGTAATCTAACAACCAAGCTTTATGATAAACGTGTTGACTTTAGATTTTCAATCGTCAACTTCCCTTATTTATGCAGCAGTATACCTTCATCACCTGCATATGTGGTTTATATCTCTCAGTTGATTCGATACGCAAGAGCATGCTCTACGTATAAACAATTTCTTAAACGAGTTAAGTTATTGACAATAAGGGTGCAACGATAAACCGTTTGACGGTATATCGCGGTATATTTTTCCACGGTTCAATTCACGATACGCTAAACTGATATCGCGGTTCGGTTCAATCGGTGCAGAATTATCCGTTTTATTTCCTTCTTCACTATTTCAAAATGGCTTCCGTGCAAAACGTGAGGTCGACGATAACGCATTTACGGCAGTAAAACTCATCTCCAGCATCTTACAGACCTCAGATTTAACACGGAGAGGGACTTAATGTGATTATAAGTTATAGATGTTTAGACAAATGATAAACCCATTAGATCTAAATGTATTCTTTGGTAATACACGATATTCCATCAGTGATCACGTGTGTATTTCGATGAAAATTCACTGTCTTGTTGATTAAAACGTATTAACACGAGAAATTTGTCAACTGGTTTTCTACGTAAATAAAAGGAATAAAAGAATGAATGTCTTCCTTTTTCATTCCAATTTAAAAGGAAGAATATTAGATAAGGTCCCTGTAGTTCCCTGTAAATGTTCATCATTGGTTTAGAATGTTGACACAACTCAAAGATCTACCTAACAATCCAATTCAACTTAACAAAATTTTATTTCAATTACTATTAAAAAATATGAACATTCTGTATAACCCTGTCAAGTTTAAAAAAATATGATGACAAACTTGAAAGACTTTTTAACCTTGTTATGTATCGTGATACGTATCATATCGTGAACTGAATACAGTGATACGTATCGTATCGTGAGTTTAGTGTATCGTTGCACCCCTAATTGACAAACAAGAATATCAGCAGTCTCGTTCAAAGTCATCATTTCGTAAGTTCTATGGTCGATACAATGACCTTGTCAGCAAATACAATTTATCATTAAGTCAAATGCTGACTGACGTTTTTCATACTAATTGTTACGCCATTATTTACACACTGAATTGTCGACGGAGTTTTCGTTATTTCCCGATCATGACAAGGAGCACATGGCGGATGTGACCGGTCGGCAGGGATGCTCATTCCTCCATTGCACCTGATCCCACCTCTGATGTTTTAGAGGTCCGTGTTTGCTCTGCTCCCGATTTGTATTTTTTTATATGGACTTTTGAGCTTGAATACTGTTCGTTGTCTCCATAAATTTCATCCTTAAACAGATATTCCGTGTTAATGAGACACTAAATATTTGAATTTACATGCATAATGAAAATTACACCAATTTTTTATCGTTAATATTTCTCATTCACAGGAAAAGATACATCAGAGTCATTGAGTAGATAGTATACAAACTGGAGAAAATCATCTTGATTAATAAAGAATTAAACTACAATTTATGTTCAAAACTCTGTTTCCATGTGACTGTTATATCCAATTGGTTTGGGGCGATTCTGCAGAACAATTAAATCCCCTTTGTGTTTCTGTCTGTTGGCTTTGTCGTCATCAACATCGTTGTGCCTAAAGACGCCAAGGGCTTGACAACACTTCAGACAAAGACAACCTAACACCATAATGCCTGTAAGGGACACCATTATCAACACAGCACACTCCAAAAATGGCAGCCATACCGGAAGAAGAAGCTCCGAAGTTTCCTCTGTGACCAACACTTGTAAAGATAGAGAGATATTTCAATATTTCAGCAATGATAAGCGAAAAATCAATGTGAACTTTATATATACAGATATGTATGTGGGTGTGAGTACATGAAACATGAAACAGTTGTTCTGTCAGATTCTGTGAAGTCTTTTATTTCGAATGAAATACTCGTATATCAAATAAATGTCTGATGAATGAAATTGCATACTATTCGTTGATAAAATTCGATGATATATCTAATGTAAAATGTGAAGATAACGAACAGTGATCGATCTCATAAATCCAGTAAACAAAACGAACCGTGAACAGGGCAAAAACACGACAGAGGTGGGATCAGGTGCCTAGGAGAAGTAAGCATCCTTTTTTGACCGGTCGTACCCGCCGTGAGCCTATGTATTGATCGGGTATACGGAGTACTCCGTAGTCAAATAATTTAATATAAAAGTATAGTATATAATCTCGATTGAAGATCATGAGAATTCTTCTTTTCAAGTACAATTAAGTTTTGAATAAAGTCTCCTTCATAAGAATACGAAAGCAGGTTGGCTAATAAAGGGGCACAATTAGTAATCATTTGAATTCTAAAAGATCGTTTTAATACCTGATTTGCCAAAGACTACCTAGATAAATTAATGTCAATCAGAAATTCCAGCATATTAAGGTATCAATATTTAACAACAATATTTATTACCGGATAAATGAATGGTGCGATTTTTGTAATAATGTTACCTAAATATCTACTCCAGAATACTTGGTGGGAAAATCAGAATGCTTTTTAACATAATGATTTTTTGGATGACAATTAACAAGATACATGTATATATAATTCCGAGTGTTTTTTTAATTGAAGAAGCAGTTGTATGCTTATGCAGAATTCTGCATTAAGTGTGGAGAAGTATTGGTTCTCAAAAAGTTTTGTTATTTTAAAGTTTAAAGTTCTTTACATGACAATATCCAGAGACTAAATGTTTACATGACAATCCCGAAATTGAAAAGATTACTGATATTTACGTGAATCACAGGTGACCCCAGTGTACCTCTCGTCACAGGTACACATGAAACTGGCCCCTTGGTCGGTACATCTTCCATGCTTACATGGCTGGTCTTGACACGTCACCACATCTACAATTGCAAATGAAACTAACAAACATACCAGGGTCTGAATATACAAGTATGTAGTTAACCTGCTGGGTTGGAGTTATATGAACGTGCAAAAAATGAAATAAAACATTCTGAAGTACTTTTTTTCTTGTTAATGTTTTACCAAGATGATATGTGACCGGTAAATGTAGACTAGCGAAGATCTTTCCGAGCTTTTCAAATTTTGATAGACATGTCAATTAGTGTACACAAACTGACTGCAAAAACGTTGACACGAAGTTATGATTTTAAAGGGAAAAAAAATAAATTTAAAAAAAACATAATAATACACGTTCTGGGACCTAATTAGAAGTCATTGCTTTAACCATAGCCCAAAAAATAAATGATTTGTAATGCAGCAAAAAGAACACCATATGACTGGCACACTTTCAGGACTTTACCTCACAAGGTCTTAGATCAATTTATTATTGACATATTTTTACTTCTCCTTTGTTTTCTCCGGTTTATTGAATTCTCTTGTATTATAGAGATAAACTCTTTCACGAAATATTATTTTTAACCCTCAAATATTTTATTAAAGCTATGCAAGGTTTAACAAAAATAGTTAACCCAACCAGAGATCTCTCCGACTTTCTATAACTTACATTCCAAAAAGTCCAAGGGTTATTTCTGATTTCGAACATATTAATTCTAGTTAAATAATAGTGTATCTTGCCACATTAACAATACATCTACATATGGATGCTTAAACGTACGTCAATGTTTCTAAGCCATGTCCATTTTTTATTTAAAGAGAGCAAATTCACAGTTGACTCGTTATTACAGCTTTATGAAAGAACACCTGTTGTTGTTGTTTTGTTTTTATGGAACATTGCTAATCTTTTATTGACAGATACATCCACTCCATTAACAAAGACATCAAAAGTGAATACACTAATTTTGTCCATTTTTCTAGCATGTTACTTTTAAAATAAATGACAAAAACAGACTTCCCTTCCCAACAATTCACCTGTTTCCCATTAGATGATCTTGAGAGTTAAAAGAAAACAATACATGTATAATGTTGGTGTCCAATGGCATGTGGAAATGATGTTTTTGTTTGTTTGTTTGTTGTTCCTCTCGATAATATGGAGATGCCACCACTTCCCTGCGAATTTTTGCCTATACTCGGCACTTAGGGCCATTGAGCAGTAAGGGATCTTTTTCGTGCCAGCACCTATTGCGACACGGGACCTCGGTTTATACGGTCTCATCCGAAGGACCGAAGGATCCCACAGTGGGATTTGAACACGCAACGTAAGGATCTACTCCTTACACCGCGACTCTAGAGCAAACGCTCTAACCACTGCGCCATGCGGTTGACTGGAAATGATGTTACACATAATAATGTTGTCAAAGGATGTTTGCTACTGTGGATTGATATCCGTTATTAGACTTTCTTCATGGTTCGTAGATCTGGATCTTCATTCGGACATAGTGATTGTCAAGGGCTAGTATCACTGGGCAAGAGACAATTCATTTTATCTTAATTCAGCCAGATAAAAAAAATTAATTAATTTAATATTAATCGGGGAAAAATAATGTCATATTAAGCCTAATATAATATGTCGAACATATGTTGCAATTTTACCTGTGTACTAGAAAGAAAGAAAAATGGTTATTGAAATAATTTGCAAAACTTTTTGTGAAGGGAAATATCATGCTAGTATTCATATAAGTCGACGAAAACAATTGAAATCTCAAAATTTGTCAATTAACACTAAAACAAATATCCTCATCAGCAGGATAATAACAAACATTTAAACATTCTTTCTAAATAGAACTTAGAGGTTACCTCCAGGCAGGATGAGTTATATGATTGGTATAATTCAATCATTACTTCTTAAAATCTCGCTTAGAAAACTCTCACTGAATATCATGTCAGTTAAGTAGTTTCCTTATTTCCATTGGGGTGGGGTGGGGGGGGGGGGGTTAAGGGATAAAATGATATTTTAGAACGTATCATATATATATATTTACCCTTTAAGATTCTTACCGTTACAGCAGATGCCCTTATGATAGGGATCACACTGACAGGATTTTGATGAAATGCTAAGTGTTCCCCCATTTTCACAAATTCGACATGGTTTAGTCATGTTCGATGAAAATGTTGAACTTTTTCCACAATGTCCGAGACAATTGTTCAGAGTATGGGGTTGAACAGATGCAGAACAGCACAGGTAACGTATTCTGTACTGTGACTGTGAACCACAAGCGCCGATACACGGAGACCATGGTCGCCAGTTAAACACATGGCACTCCGGTACCGTAGCACAATCCTCTGTCAGAAGAGTTCCGATGTTTAAGATGCACAGCAGCAAACACACTTCTACTAATCTCATTTTCTATATTGAAACTTTATCAATAATATTTTTCAAAAAAACTACGTATGCATTACGATTCCGTGTATTTTGTGTATCATGGCTTCTTGGTGATGCTTATCTATTGATTATGAAAAATGAATTCTACCTTACCTGAGTATTACACAACCTTTTCTTGACATTTGTTGCAAATATAAGCAACTTTTGTGTCATTGTAATCTTCGGAGGCATCTATCATGTCTTTCGTTTACAAATAAATAACATAACATGGCCGTAGGAACCGGGGAACACGGGGGGGGGGGGTTGCCCCTCCCAATAATGACCTTGTTTTGCGTGTCAAAGAATATTTTTTGGTAGCCCCCCCCCCCCCGGCAAACTGAAAATATTTGGTTGTGCCCCCCCAACTGATATTGCTTCCTATGGGCTGCATAAACACTTTCTCACTGTCGTCCTGTGCCATTGGAAAAATACCCGGAGCGATTGAGTCAGATGCATGAACGCATTGTAAAGAAAAGAAACGACCAGGGGCCGGTTTTGCAAAATATCTTACGACTGCAAGACCAAAAACTTAAGTTGATTGTAAAATCTTGCAAAATTAATGATTTTCTTAAGAATTGTTTGTATAAGAATATTTTCTAAATGTTTTTAAGAAGATAAAAAACTAATGTAAAATAGAAAATTATCTGCAAAATTACATCATATTCCTTTGTAAAACGGGTCCCAGGACTGTCAATATGAGTCTTACTGAGGGGTTGTCGTCACAGAAATGACATATCTTTTCTCCTGATGAGCTTCACCTTGTCCAAATGGTCTTGGATCAAATCTTTTACAGACCATCTCTTCAGTGGCAACCTGTTTACTAATTACAGGTATATTTTTTTTTACATTTCATGTTTTTTGTTTATGTATCGGGTTCGGGAATGCAACAATTCCAAATATTTAGGCGGAAGATTTGATCAAAGAGACATGTTCGACTATTTTGATATTAATGACATATTGTCAACACAGCAGAGAGTACCATGCAAAGTAGAAATGACAATATACCGATTAGGTAAAACCATGCATAGTGTTTAAAATATAGGGTGACGGTATTGACAGTTGTATCATAGGCCTACAAGACTTCAAATAATAGGGTAACATGATCAACGTTGTAGTTCAACGTGATGTTCTCAAATATTATAGTTGAGAACTCGGTGTTATGAATATCATAATGTTGCTTTGATAACAAAACCATATTCTTTTTGCTACGCATGTCTGGAGAGAGTCTCAAAGATTAAAGCCTTTGAATATGGAAAGCCTCGTTCAAGTGATTTTGTACAACATTACTTATCAGGTCCGGCACAATCTCTTGATTTAGCTATGTAGCTTGATTTAGCTATATAGCTTTATTAAGCTATTCAGAATAGCATGATTTAGCTATTTTATCACACTTTTTTCTCAAATGTATTATTTTCTCAGCATGCACAAAAAGTCGCACCTTGGTGCAATGATAATATTCAACCTTGAACTCTTCTGAAAATAATACATGTAAAAATCACTCATCAAATTGTGTCTCCTTAAGAGACTTTGTACTCAAAGTTCTAAAAGTTTTGGGGCTATATAAAGCAATTGATACAGTTAGATCTCGAATGAAATTATAAAGGAGGTCAATTATGATCAACAAGATGATTGGTAATAATTCAGTACAATGAGAAGCAATCATACTTATCCATGCCTCAACACACACAAGGTAGTGTACAGTTACCCAAACAATGGAAATTCATCTTTTGCTTAAAAGTATTCAAATGCTGCAATGTTGGAACTATCTTTGATTTTGGTTGTTGTTTTGATAACCCATAGTACATATATGAATAGTCAATTACTTGCGACTTTTTGTCTATTTCATACATGTGATAAGTCAAAGACCACAAAACTGTACAGGAGCCATAAAAAAAACTGGAATTTGGGTGAAAAAACTGTACACTGCCTATCAAAAAACGGTACAAAAAATGGTATAAAATATCGCTTAAATTCTTCTGAAATTCCATCGTAATCATTGTAATAAACATCGTATATTTTATACCTACGAAGATCTGGGTCCGTATATTTAATCATGTATATCAACTTTAGAAGTTGGCTTAATTTTTTTCAATCAAGTTACGTATACGAAACATTAACAGTAATTAAGTACCCCTTAAAAAATAAAGCTACCTAAAGGGGTATTTGATACGAATTTATAGCAAGATAATTATCCCAATTGGCAGTTCACACCTTCGCACGCGATGGTTTGTGTACACTACACAATTATCAGAAGGGCAAGTGTCAACACAGGTGACGTTTTCCAGTGTCTGGCGAGCGAGAATGAGAGGAAAATGGCAGCATTTAGCGAGAAATTTAAAATACTGTACAAATTTTCATATTCCGTGAATTTTGGTGTCCCGCCGGTACACGATGAATGGGCTCGAAAAACTGTAAATTTTGTGTACAGCCGGTACATATCACATGTATGCTATTTTAACATTTTTGTTAAAAACTGCATATAAATAGCTTTATCAAGCTATTTTGAATAGCTTAATAAAGCTATATAGCTATTTCAAGCTATATAGCTTAATCAAGAGATTGTGCCGGACCTGCTTATTTCAAGCATCTTCTGCACTTTTAGAATTTCATATTCACATCATTCCCCATTGTCAGTTTTGAATTTTGTAAAAAGACTGTCCAAATTAAAGACAAAAGTGTACCATGTGAGAGTCACTGTCTCCAGTCATCTGCATAATTTTCATCATAATACTAAAGTATCTCTCGGACTCTTTCTTAAAATTGACAATACTTATGGCTAAGCAATGCAAATAAGTTATAACAGGAAAGGAGGAAAATGTGACAGACTAGAGCGAGATTTGAACCCAAGTCCCCTGAATCTCTAGTCAGGTGCTCTACCAACTGAGCTATCTGGCCACCGGCGATCAAACCCATCTGACTGCCCCATTCCCCCCTTCTTAAAGGTCTTCGCCCCTCCCCCTCCCCTCCCAGATATCAACCCAGGCACTTCCCTGGCAGGTCTTTCACCTGTCACATCCTGGTCATGGCACCAAATGTAACAGGAGAGAAGAAAATTGCAGTGGGCCAGACCGGGATTTGAACCTGGACCCCCCTGAATCTCTGGTCAGGCGCTCTACCAACTGAGATATCTGGCCACTAGTGATTGAACCTGTCTGACTGCCACAAAGTTATGGATTAAATTTTGTATTGTCACAAAGAGTTGCTCTGATTTGTGTTGTTTTTGCCTCCTTTGTCTTTCTATTGACAAAATTCTAACAAGTTGTAATTGAAAAACCTGTATAAAAACAATCCAGCCTAAGAGAAGTTTTGATACATTTTGATTACAGTGCAATTATTGCATGTTTAACACCTTCTGCTATGATGTTTTGTTTACATTAGGCCCAAAAAAATAATAGTCTTGTTTCCTGCTACCTGACTGACCCTATTTTTCTGCGCCCGACCCTAAAGTTTTTTTAAGGTTTGGATGAAAAAAAAATCGTGAATTTCCGGAATTTCATCATTCTGTCACTGTAATCAGTTTCCATGTTAAAACAAAACAAGCCTTTCATGAAATTCTATTTTTTAAATAAGGACTTTCATAAAATACCACTTGAGTTGTGCATCAAAAAACATGAAATTTAATTTTAAAAGACAATATTGACCTGTGACATGTTTAATTTGATCTTGTATTAGTTCATATCCAAAAAATGACATTGGAAAAAAATAAAATAAAAAAAATAAAATAATTCTCCTACCTACCTACCCTATTTTTTTAGGCTGGTAGCAGGAAACAAGACTATTATTTTTTTGGCCTTAAACAAGTAGAGTAAGTCATGTACATGTTGAACAAAATTTATTATGTTCAGTGTTTTCCTTTTATTTCAGAGTAAAGTGTTAGAGATCAGTTGTAATAGGCAAGGGGTTGAGGTTTATGAAAAAAATTCTGTGGACCTTACAACAATTATTTTTGAAATTTTTTATTTGTAAGCAGTATTTTTAATAACTGAAGTGGTCAATTTGCCCGGTTCTTAGGGAAAATACTATGTTGTGAGGATAAGAATTAAAGAAAAATGTTGGTTTCTGGTTAAAAAAATTTCAAAATACGGGACAAATTTTCATTTCCCTTGAATTTTGGTGTTCCACCATGAATGGAGTCAGTGATATGTGACATTGTGTACAGCCAGTACATATCACATGTATGATATGGAATACACTGCACGGGTTATGAAAACTTTATCCTTCTGTATACTCTTACAGCTTTGCAGGTATTTTGATAAAATAGTACATTTGAATGTTGTGCAGTGTAAATTGTTCACTTACATGGTTTTTTTCTTAACAATAACAAAATGATATTGCAGGTTATCTTGACACAAGCTCCGAGTCTGAACATTTACAACCTGGAACAAAGTTAGAGATGCCGTATTGGATGGCCCGAGGTCTCTGTAGCAGTACGAGACACATAGTGAGTGTGGACTTGCCTAAGCAGTACAAGGAAGGTTATCGAGAGATCTTCACGGCAGACCCAACAGTGGTCGACCTACACAAACTGGGACCATACTTCTATAACTACGGAAGTCAGCTCCTTAAATTTGAACTCCCTGAAACACCTGATGTAGCAAAGTCATTATTACAAGTAATTATGTCTTTTGATGATGTCAGACAATTTGATTTTCTGATACACTTAAATCAGTGTTAATCCTTGTTTTATGAAGGCCAAGTCAATTTATTTTTGATAGATTCATCTTTGTATTTCAATAATGCATTATTATTAAATAATGAAATAAATTGTTGTTCAGTGGGAGTGTAATGTATATTAGATACAGGAATGGCATATTGTGTTTTTATTTTTTAGACTTTCCAAGGCCGATTAAGAAAGATAATGGACAGTTCACAGAATTCATACAATGAAGACACATCCAAACTAATAGAGAAGCTTGACGAATCAGAAAGGATTTTATTTAAAGAGGGACAGAAAGCTTTAAATGACTTTCAGTGTTGGGAAACAAGGAAAACTGAGAAACTGACCACTTCTGAAATGGTGAAAAATCATAGAAAGAGGAAAAGAGTGGTACTAGAGGAATCTTAATGGTCAATGTAAAGGAAATTTATATACATTCTTGATTGGAAATGTTATATTATTCGATTTATTGTTTATAATTTAATGAGAAATATACTTAATAAAGTGATAATATTATTCATGTAGTTAATCTGGGTACACAAGTCATATTAAAAAAGGCCATAAATTATATTGCTGTGATAAGTGAAAATGATTTAAACCACCAGTGTAACAACAATACTGGTGTATGATGCATCTGTGGATGGACACTACTAGACTTGCTTTGGATGCTGGGTCTGACCTTCATTTTCCAGATGAACTAGGTTTAAGTTTTTGGAGCATGCCCATCCCCAAGTAACTATAAGCCCTACCTGGACCAAACATGCAGGGATCTGCTTGCATGGATGATGCATCTAGAGATGGACACTACAAGATTTGCTTTGGTTGCTGGATCTGATTTAAATTTTTTCAGATAAGTGAACAAGCATAAATTTTTGGAGCAAGTCCATTCCCAAATAACTATAAGCCTTACTTTTACCAAACTTGAGGGAATGATGCATCTAGGGATGTACGCTACCAGACCTGCATTAGATCTGGATCTGACCTACTTTTTCAAAATGAGTGAATATTACCCCCTACCTGAACCAAACTAGCATAGACGATGCATATAGGAATGAATACTACCAGACTTGCTTCGAATACTAAATCTGACCAACATTTTCCAGATGAGTTGGAGCTGGTCATTTCCCAATAAACTATAAGTAGCTACATGGAAGGGTAAGCATCCCCTGTCGACCTCAGTGTGCTCCTTGTCATGATCAAATGGGGGAAAAACCATGGACAAATTGTGTGAAAATAATGGGCTTACAATTTGTATGAAAAAGTCTGTCTATATTCGACTTTAAAACATATTGTATTTGCTAACATGTTCATTGTATCGACCACAGAATTTGCAAAATGTAGACTTAAAATGATACTGTTGGTATCCTTGTATCATCAACTTAATTGTCAATAGCTTGTCTCGTTTTAGATATCGTACTTATGTAGAATTTGATCTTTTGTATCGAATCAACCTGGAGACATAAACTCCATATGCAGGTGGTAATGGTATATTGCGAAAGTTGACGACAGAAAAGTTGAAATCACATTTATCATAAAGTTTTATAATTGTTAGTTTGCCATTAATGTCTTTTTCTAGTAAAATATCCAATTATGAAACAGACGTGTCAGACTCTGTGATGTCTCTTATTTCCAGTTCAAAGGGATATATCGAATCAACTTGGGAATGATAATGAATATTGTTAATTGATAAAACATTTTGTTATACCTTTAAAAATTAATTCCTATATAAATCTACACTTAAAAAAGTCTAACATTTCTAATGTTTTACAGAGCGGTCATAAAAAAAATCGATGTTTGACCGCAGAGTGAGATATTGGACCTGTGGACGAGATATTGGACCACTTATGTCACACTGTGGATCACAGGATCAGCAAAATCTTATTGCATTTTTGGGTATTGAAGCCAACAAAAGATACATGTATAACAAAATAATAATAATAAGTAAATAAATAAATAAAAGGTATAACTAAACATTTATTGACTGTGTTCTCAGACAAAATGCGTTTTGTCGACCCCTCGAACCGAATTGCTTGCATTCGGCCTAACGGCCTCAGGCAAACATTCTGGTTATTGGGTCCGACAAAATGCATGTTGCCCTCGAATCCTATTCAAATGTATAGTATTCGTAAATACCCAATTGAAAGCAACAGCAAGAGACTTCTTTTCATGTAGAAGTTTTTGATAAAAATTCTTCATATGAAAACAAAAATAGATTTTCTAATAATGGGGTGGAATATTAGTACCTATGGGATTCCAACATTGGAATACTTGATCTCCAAAAACTACAAAGATATTGTCAATCAGAAACTCTTGATAGCATCTTTTAATATCAACTTCAGAGTATTTTTGTGTACAATCAGAGTGTTTTTAACAAAATAATCAAGGCCGTAGGAACGGGGGGGGGGGGCATAGATATTGCTATTGATTCTGGTAATTTTGCCGATATATAGAATACTATAGAAAACATAGCTACTATATGCTTGTGCCCCCTCAATAACAACATTTGATGCCCCTCTTTTTTGCTTGTCAGGGAATTTTTTGAAGTTGATAGTGCCCCCCCCCCCCAACTGAAAATGTATGGTTGTGTCCCCCCCCCCCTAAGCTGAAACTGCTTCCTACGGGCCTGGTAATATATTGCAGATGATCAATGAAAAGGTACGTAAATTTACACGTTCCATTTTCATTGTAAAAGCAGCTGTCTATTATGTCAAAAAGCCTGGATTTAAATTTATCGTGGGGAAAGGTTGTATAAAGTGTAGGTTTTGATGCTATTGATTTTGGTAAAATTTCGTGATTTCAAATTTTCTAAGTTTCTTGGAGAGTTTATGTATCCACATCTGATTAACACCACTTTTCAAATATTTGTTGTACAGTGCTCCTGAAATTTCTCCTTTAACATTCTTTGTGCCGTGGGCCTATTTTGGGCCTATTTTCAAAAACTACGTTAAGTGCCATGGGCCTATTTTGGGCCTACTGTTAACTCATTACGTCACAAGTAAAACTGATTATGACGTTCCGTCATCATTCTGAGTTTCGCGCCATTTTAGCCTCTTGATGCAGAAAACAATCAATTATTTTAATATAATATTACTGAAAATTGTGAGAATGAACAGGAATTTTAAACAGGCATTTCATTTGTCTGAATCTTTGGAAAATGTAAACAATGCATTCTAATTTAAAATTAAGGAATTTTATCAACATCTCCAATCCTTGTCTGAACGATATAAGTAATCAAATTAAGTTCCAGTGGGAGAAAAAAATATTATTTATTTATCTTAAACATGGGAATAATTTTTCATCAGTTACAAGAATATAATGTTTTGATCGTGGTAAATATGAAATACTAGTATTGCAAAATCATTGTAATTTATGTAAATATTTTTTTTCATAATCTAAAATCGGCATTATATACCATACAGTTTAACAATATACATGTAACATGTAAGCCTTGTAGAGCTTTTTAATCGACTATATAACGTTTTATCCTTGGGAGCATCACAAGTTTATACAGAGAAATGCAGTTTACAACAGATTACTTAATCTGGAGGGAAAGCAAAAAAAAAAAAAAAAAAAAAAAAAAAAAAAAAAAAAAAAAATCGCGACTGTGTAAAGTGTATGGTAGTTTAATAAATATAATTTGTGGAGGAAAAAACTCCTTATTATCCCGGGATGGTATATCGGCGAAAAGGGAGGGCAAAATATCTTCGAATCGGAGCAAGACCCCCCCCCCCCCGCAAATACCCCTAAGCCCTAAGATCTTGATTTCCTCCCAATGTAACTTAACCAAGTATAGTAATACATTATTTACTTTATTTTCTAACAGCTACAGCTGTAGGCGAGGCATTTAAGGTCAACTACTACCGGTACTTACATATAGATGCACATTGTAAGATACACGTGTGTTGACGGAATATTTACCTGGTAGTTTTACCAAATGAAATGTTTCTTAATTCTTTAAAGTCCTTGAGGGTGTTTTTATATATCTAGCACCAAATACAAAGCACAGACTCCTGTTTCAGTTATATCTTTTAACCCATAACAGAACAATAACATTATTACACTATGGTTTAAATAATTATTACAGAAAGAAGTACCTGTGATACAAGTAATACATATTGTAAATTTGTAGAAAAATGTAGTAAAATTACAAAAAGAACAAGTTTTTTAATTAAATCTAAGTCTCTTCATTTGATTGAATAAAAAAAAAAATCCACAGAATGCATCCAAGTTCCCGATCAAGGGTGGTACCAGACACTGAAGAAAAACTTGAAAGTAACGTACGTCTTCGTCGGTGTATTCCAGGTTATAATATATGAGAACAAGATTACAACAAGTTAAAATGATGCAAAGCATCAAATCGGCCGCAAAAATATATTTAGTATTCTGAAGTATATTCACGAGAAAGAGTCCAAAGAAAAAAATTACAAATAGAAAAGTATATGATGCATTAAAAATATATATATATATAACCATAACAATCATATAATTTTAAACAATACAAAAGGTTTCAGGGAAAGGGGTGTGTGTGCATGTGGTAATATGTAAGGTCTACGTTCAAAAAATATGTATAAGGTGTACGAATAGATAGAATTTTCATGTCTTAGAAAACCTTTACTGGTAACCCCCCCCAAAAAAAATTATAAGTAGTTATTAATGTATCACTGCGTTTCAATTACATTGCATTTGTATATTTTTAACTTCACTATATGCAGTATACTTGATCCACGGCAGGCGCGGATCCAGGAATTGAAGGGGGGGGGGGCAAAAAGTAGGCGGGGATCTGGGGCGAAGCCCCCGGAAGCTCTTGTATTCTTCAGAGATTTTGTAGGGTAAAAATGAGGTCTACCGAGTAGACATTTTTATATTTTCTTCTCATATTTTTTCCATTAAAAAAAAAAACAGAATTACGGTTTTTTAATATTTGATTAACAGTCTTACGCACAGTTTACAGATATTCCACGGTTTTTCTTTTTTCTTTTTTTAAATGGAAAATGTCAAAGAATGGAAAAATATACTCCAAGTAATTAAACTAAAAGTGAATATTAGTAACTACAACCAAATGTTTAGATGGCGAAAAGTTCCCAGGAAATTAGAAATGTTGAATCAGTATAAGTTTGACCTTCACACACATTAACGTTATGGCATCGTGTGTGTTAGACATTTTTCTGAAAAATAATCAGATTGCCATCATGGACGGCTATTGAAAAAAAAAATACGGAAAAGAGAAGTTTACAAAATGAGCTTAATAATGCGTATTCCTGATTCAAACAGAACATTACATGTGCTCACAGTGACGATCGGATAGTAATGATGCTCGGAACCTGTCTAGAAAAGCTTTAAAACATGAGCTATCGTAACTTATTGCTCATTCACTCACAGGTGGATTTTTAGATCGACTAATTCATTTTTTTTTCATTTTCTCGATGAAACTATGATTTATGTTTTGACAATCCGCTGCACGGTTCCTTGATGTTGCATATTTTTTATATTTTAAAGAATTTAACCCCATACCTAATAATTCATGTGAATTAGGTATGGGGTTATATTTTTTTAAATAAGAAAAATATGTAACATAAAGTACTAGATCTTCTAAAAAATATTTGAGCATAAATTATGTGTGTTCTATAATTGTAATCTTTTTCCGAAGGGGCTAGTCTTTTTGGAATTTGTTCTCTGTTGTCTCTATTTTAACGCGAATAAGTATTTATACCTTTATTACATTTTCAACAGTGAAATACTGTGATTTATTTATTGAATAAAAGTGATATTCTCTCACAGTGTGAAAGGATACCAAAAATGATATTCTCTCACAGTGTGAAAGGATATCAAAGTAAGTAAAAAATAATTTCTGGCCTTTCATAAGATAGAGATAGTAACTAAGCATCTTGATAGAGCTAAAACTGCAAATTTCTTCCTAAATATGTTGCTAAAATCCATGCTATGTAATGTTTTCAATCTGACACACAACTTCTAAGCTATGACGTCTCAACCGCTCAACTATGACGTCAAGCCTATGACACTGTGTTAAGAAAAGACAGAGGCAAAGGGAAAATCAAAGAAAATGTAATAAACAGAAAATTCAATGTTTTGTAGATGAATATGGAATTTATTTCACTCGTGAGACAGGATTTTTTTTTATATTTTCACTCGTGCTTCGCACTCGTGAAAATATCAAAAAATCCTGTCCCACTCGTGAAATAAATTCCATATTCATCTACAAAACATTGAATATCCTCTATTTATCTACATTGTTTGTGACGTCATAGTTACGCTACGTCATAGTTTCAACGTAATAGAAAACTGTCACGGCACAGTACGTAATTTGAACTGGAAATCTGTACGGCAGCAAAAGGGTTAATACTACTGTTAATGTTTTGGTGAGGAGTACAAAAAGAGGCTTGGTAGAACATTTACTAAAACCTGCTATGTATCTACGTAAACAAATCAAAGCTTCCACTTCATTAGGATTTTCTAGTCTTTTTACTACATATATTTCAATTATTATTTATATTACTAATCACAAAATAATATTCTGTTGCAATCAATCTGATTTTAAAAAATCAGATCCTTTGATCCGCTCATATAGATCGCTACTTACGTCCCTTTAAATAATGTACGTCATCAAAAATGTATTTTGTCACAATTAATTGACGTCATAATGTAAGGATGCCATGATCAGATATATGCATCCAAGCCTTCTTCATTTGTGTTTACTTAGTTCAGTATACAAAGGTAGTTTTTTTTTCTGCGATTTAAATCTGTGAAGTTTAAGAAACTTTTTATCGAATTATATGGTAGTTATTCAAACTTTATTCGAAGAGGCAGCTCGTTACAAAACTTATCACTATCGTTTGAATGTTTTGAAATAGACTGCAGTTCACTATGCATTTTTCTATTCTTATGTTTAAGAAAATTTCTTCATAGTTTGCTAGCGATGAGAGCCTCAAAGAGCGATCCACTTTGTTATGACAACCAAGGGAAATCCGTAACTGTAACTGATCAAAAGAATCGTGTGAGTAAGACCCCAAATGGAAAGAAAAACCCACAGTGCGAAGGTATTGTACAGCGAAAAATGGAGGAGAAATACTGCAGCCTATTGGCTGAATACAGGCGAGTACAGCAACAGGAATCGGTTCTCAGAAACAACATGGCGCTCCTGAGGGCGGAACTGATTCTCTGTCAAACACAGAAGTATCACAGAGGGCTGCAAGATTTAGGAAGGATAACATTAGATCCCATTGAAATCCGGAGGATTGATTCTAAGCGGTCCAGATATCAGTGTAACCAAGTGAAGCGACCTTATATTGTACAGAAATACACTTCAGAGCTCGGCGGCGGTGCTTTGAGGCGCATTCCGAGAAACTTCTCCAAGTTAAGATATACCTTACCTACTATCGTAAAAGAAAATTCTACAATCAAATCAAAGATAATGACATCGAACAACGAAGGGAATACTAAAATGAGTGAAGTCAGCAAGGGTCTGGCGAACAAGAAAGAATCGTCTAACGATAAGTGCTCCTGTTCAAACTGCATAAATTTCCCCCCAACTGTTGTACGTCCTCCCCGAATATTGATAATCAAGAAATCGCCCCAAGTTTACAAAACTAATTATAGACTTCAAAAGCATTCTTTTCCACCAATTCAAGAGAAGGAAAAATCAAATGTGTAATTACAATATGACTTTAAAGTAAATAATAAAGTTCAAATCGTTGATAAAGTAAGGCATTATCATTTTATATGGGTTATCGATCGCAATGTTTGTACATGTATTTTAGTCAAGCTTCGGACTGGCTTCGAGGGCAACATGCGTTTTGTCAGACCCTAGATCCAAATTGTTCGTCTGACGCTGTAAGACCGAAAGCAACAGTTTGGTTCGAGGGTTCGACAAAACACATTCAATAAAAGTTTTGCTCTACTTTTATTATGAAGTACATATATCTTGCTCAGGCAAGTAGTATCGATTTTGAAAGTACGGGGGAGGGGGAAGAAAAAATTGACTACTTACCCGAAAAGACTTTGAGAAGCAAAAAAAAAAAAAAAAAAAAAAAAAAAAAAAAACAACAACTTTTTTTCTCAACCGAATTTTATCAATACATTACCCATATCTTGATTTGACTATACGACAAGTCGCCTGCTAGTTCGAAATATATGTTTTCCAGGCGATTTTTTTTTACGATTTTGATATTTAACATGCCACGAAAAATATCAAAATCGTGAAAAACGCCTGGAAAATATCAACGGCCTCGTTTAAAGTCATCATTTCGTGAGTTCTATGGTCGATACAATGACCTTGTCAGCAAGTACAATCTGTCATTAAGTCATATGCTGACTGACGTTTTTCATACAAACTGTTAGGCCATTATTTACACACTGAATTGTCGACGGATTTTCCGTTATTTCCCGATCATGACGAGGAGCACACGGCCGGTGTAACGACGAAAAGTGACCCCCGTAGAATATTGACCGGGGGGTCAAATTTCTCCATAGAAAAATGACCCCCCGGTCAATTTTCTACGGCAAGTAGGGTCATTTTTCGACCGTAGAAAACCCTTCCAGGCCGGTAATTCTACGACTCCACACACGTTGAAAAATGACCCCCATAGAAATATGACCCCCTACTTTTTCACTATATTTTATAATTAACCCTTTAGAAATGAGATGTGATATGCGTTAATCCTATGTTTGGAAGGGTCGGTGAAGGCCTAGAGTCTCCCGATTTTTTTTCTTTAAAATGTATATTGGAGGAGGAGCAAAGTACCTTCCCCTCCTTAACGCCACTTCTCAATACTAGCATCATGTACAATGTACGTGGAAATATGTCTTTTTTTTCTTGCATCCCAATGAGTATACATTATTGAGGAGCAATTATATATATATATATATATATATATATATATATATATATATATATATATATATATATATATATATATATATATAGATATATTTATATTTATATTTATATATAAAATTTTTAGACAAGGAAAAAAATAGAGAAAGCACGGCATATGAAGCGTACAATAGATGCTATTATTAACTGTAATTACTGCTTCATTTTTAATATCATGTAATATCTTTTTCCCTCTTTTAGGTTCATTTATCCTTATGTATTACATGAATATTAATACCCCCGCTTCGAATAAAATGGGGGTATATACCTTGTACCCTGCGAATCTCTCTGTTGTGTGTGCGGGGTGAATGTTTGTGTCTGACTGTCTGTCCGAAACATTTTTTTTCGCTGCAGTTCTCTCTGCAACAACTCATCGCAGATGCTTGAAATTTTAATACACTCTTTGGTTCGGCTATACAGTGATATTCATTTTGGTACAAACCCTGTCCGTCTGTCTGTGTGGATGGGGTATCACTAGAGAGCACTGGCTCATAGATTTCTTGTTTCCCCTGTAATTTGTGTACTTAAAATTATTGTCTGTAGAATTAAACTATACAATGAACTAACGTTTTTCATACTAATTGTTAGGTCATTATTTACACACTGAATTGTCGACGGATTTTTCCGTTATTTCCCGATCATGACAAGGAGCACACGGCGGGTGTGACCGGTCGGCAGGGGATGCTCACTCCTCCATGGCACCTGATCCCACCTCTGATGTTTGGAGGTCCGTGTTTGCTCTGCTCCTATTTTGTATTGTTTAGTGGACCTTTGAGCTTGAATACTGTTCGTTATCTTCATATATTTCATTATCTCTATTGTAGGAAAAAAAACGAATGTATCTAAATAACGTTAACTATGAAACACTATATATATTGTTTGTATCAGGATCGCTATATGAAAAACACTGATAGTCTCTAACAAAAAAAAAAAAAAAAGAAAACCACAACAAAAAACTATAGTTCACCAAAGTTAACTATAGTTTAATGCAGTATCAAAGTTTTTACTATAGTAAATCAAAGTATTTTTTTTGGATATATTATTGTGATATGTTTTGTTCTTAAATTTATACGTGCACTTTTTTATATTTTAGGGAACTACAAGGGGTGATCAAAAAGTTCGTGAACTATCTCGTTATTTACAAAACCACAGTTCAGATCAAAATGAAATTTGGCACACAATTAGTCATAAACATGTTCTATAAAAAGCAGATATTTGCTCCACGTTTGGACGTCACAAAATAAAAATTACTCAATATGTAGATGAAGTGACAAAAAATGAATGACCCAGTCGTACTTGAGCAACGAACGGCTTTAAAGTTTAACGTTTATCTTAGAAATTCTTTTTCAGTGGCATAAAATAATTTGTACACGATTTATGAAGACAAAAAGACATGGCAGAAGTTCAATCATTAATTGGATTGATTGTTTTAGTGAAGGAAGGGAGGTGGTTAAAATGATGTTTGTTCTGGTGCCCAGTGAAAGCAAGCTTGGGAAGAGATGTGTCCTTAGTTGAACAATCTGTAACGAAAGATCGCCAAACTGCAGTTAGAAAAATAGTTGAATATCTTAACAATAATATAATTATTGAAACCCTAAAATATCGTTTACCTTAGATTTTAAACATATCATATATGATAAAAAGAAGGCGCCCATACTTTATCCACAATGGATAAACGACGCGTCCCAATACAAAAGAGTCGGGTTTTGATGGTTACTATGCTCATCCTGGGAAAAGATATCCTTATCCACCAATCCTATTTATGACAAATGGGCTATTCTTGTTACAAAAATTAACTTGCATGGTAAGAAATTTAAGACTCGGAAAAATCTTTTAATTTCTGTGAACAGAATTACGCTACGGAGCATGTCACGTGAACGCCTGGATCACGTAATTCGCACATGGGCAGAACGATGGCAGATGTGCATTCAATTCGGAGAGGACCACTTTAAAAAATAATACAAATCGAAATCTGATTTTATTTCTTTTATGGTAGTAATTCAATTACTTCGCGAACATTTTGATTACACCTCGTATTTCTTGTTCATTAACATATCATCCCAAAATTTTACATTACAGATATCAATTTAAGAAAAGTTCAGCTTTGAAATCTCAAAAAAGTTCCAAACAAAGTTTCATAGTTAATTAAAGTATCAAAGTATTTACTATAGTTAATAATAGTAAACTATAGTTAAGTATAGTTTACTATAGTGAATTTTTGTTAGGAGTGCCCTTTGATTGTGATAGAAATACTTGCAATATGCTCCCCTTCCTTGATCATTATATAGATACATGTATAAACTACATCCTCATGCACATATGCATTATAGAACTCCTTGTAAGTAGGGTTTTTAATGTAAGAAAAAAGATTTTTGTTTACTTTTATCCTATATTTTTAAACCTCGTATCACACAGCAAGATCGCTTAATTTGTGTATATAGGAAAGACATGGCCAGATTTTTTTTCTATAGGCTAGCAAATTTAAAGAGTGGGTTACATCCTCGTTACCCACTCCCTCAAAACTGGCAATCAGAAGTTAGAAGGTTATTCCCTATTCCCTATTGACTATTCGAATGGCGAACCGGATGCTGCTACCGGTTCCCTATTCAAATTACCGTAAGTGTCCTAATAATTTTTTTTTTTCAAAAAACTTGAATAACTCATTATAATACATGTTAAAGAAGCAAATCAAAGACATCACTTAAAAAGGAAGAATGAGGACCCCAAACCAATGTAGCTAGCCTGACCAAAATGATGACAATGGACAGGAAAGGTAAACCTAGAACCAGGAGCTGGTTAACACCCTGGATCCCATATTTAGACCTTCATCTTTTTACAGGGGAGGGGTCTGGGAGGGACCCCTTGACTGTCAAAAGGAATTGAGTTTACAAGAGCGGTAACCCATTTAGCTAGCCCGGTCGAAATTGGAAAAATCCCGTATAATACAGTTATAAGAGTCCATAGTTCTAGGGGCTGGCTAACACCCTGGATCCCATATTTTGACCTTCATCTTTTTACAGGGGAGGGGTCTGGGAGGGACCCCTTGACTGTCAAAAGGAATTGAGTTTACAAGAGCGGTAACCCATTTAGCTAGCCCGGTCGAAATTGGAAAAATCCCGTATAATACAGTTATAAGAGTCCATAGTTCTAGGGGCTGGCTAACACCCTGGATCCCATATTTTGACCTTCATCTTTTTACAGGGGAGGGGTCTGGGAGGGACCCCTTGACTGTCAAAAGGAATTGAGTTTACAAGAGCGGTAACCCATTTAGCTAGCCCGGTCGAAATTGAAAAAATCCCTTATAATACAGTTATAAGAGTCCATAGTTCTAGGGGCTGGCTAACACCCTGGATCCCATATTTTGACCTTCATCTTTTTACAGGGGAGGGGTCTGGGAGGGACCCCTTGACTGTCAAAAGGAATTGAGTTTACAAGAGCGGTAACCCATTTAGCTAGCCCGGTCGAAATTGGAAAAATCCCTTATAATACAGTTATAAGAGTCCATAGTTCTAGGGGCTGGCTAACACCCTGGATCCCATATTTTGACCTTCATCTTTTTACAGGGGAGGGGTCTGGGAGGGACCCCTTGACTGTCAAAAGGAATTGAGTTTACAAGAGCGGTAACCCATTTAGCTAGCCCGGTCGAAATTGGAAAAATCCCGTATAATACAGTTATAAGAGTCCATAGTTCTAGGGGCCTCTGGTTTAAAACAAGAAAACAAATTCAATTGTTTGAAGGTTGATACATGATACTCAGGTGACTTATAAGGTCCATGGGCCTCTTGCTTCAGGAATGTGTTATATAACAGGTGGGGGTGGGCGCTTAGTTTCC